AATGCAATGCTTAACAAGTCGTAGCTAATGATGTCTTTTAATTCCCCTTGGGAATATGTTTACATTCAGAAGATAACAGCGTGTTATTTTTAGAGGTCAGCTATCGTTACGAAATTGCAATAAAATATCGTATCTTTTTGTTTTACTGAAGTTTCATAATACGTAATTAGAAGAATGTGTATTATTTGTCTGACTCGATAGTATTTAACATGGTTTCTAACTTTGATATGAACAGTAATCATGGCTCTGCTTTACTATCTATCCGTTTTGCACGATTGTGATTATCCATAAAGAAAAAGTGTCAAGAGACCAAGTCATTTATAGTGAATATTCCATTAAAATCGATATGTAAAAAAATGCAATATTCTTTTTTTATTTTTGAAAGAAAACCGTATACTTGTATAAGACTCGTTACTTCACGCCAGAAAATATCTAAACAAAACATCAAATCTCCGCAGCAGTTTGCTAAATGTTTGAGTTCTTTACAGGAAGTTCACAATTTATTAGAGACTATTTGTTGTATATAGGCTCAACTCGAAAGCTATTATATACTCTAGAAACTTTTCTTATGAATCAACGTATTTGGTTTAGAGATAAAGTTAACGAGTTTTCTTAAATAATATAAAGTTATAACCTTTTTCTGTCTTCTAAATAATACTTAGCTCGTAAAGCTAAAGGGAATTTTCTAGTTAAGCTCATTCTATATAATTGATAATTCTATAATTAGAAAAATAAACTCGAAAGTATACTAATGAATTTTTATCATGTTTAGTAGAAAATAGTCGTTCATATTTTTCTCTAGTTCGATAAAAAATAGATGGAAATCAATACAGTTCTGATATGTTACTAACACAATTATTGATTACTGATTCAATCATTCAAATTCTTTTGTTTATCCTAGAATGTCGATTTAGTTTTAGTTCAGTTTTTTTTCAACTGTTCAATTGTTCGATGACTATTTCTATTGACAAAAAAATATCTATTGAAAATTGCCGATGTTATAAATGTACACTTGATGAAATATTATCAATATTAATTGAAATATTTTCTTTTCGCATAAGACCAGGGGCGGATCTACAGCAGACGAGATGGGGCGACCGCCCTCCCTTTGGTACTGGTTTCATGCTACTTTCTAGCGATTTTTCTCCAACATATTGTATGTTTATCGTAACCGCGCCTCCCTTTTGCTTAACCGCATCCCCCTTCAAAAACTCCTGGATCCGCCACTGCATAAGGCGTTACAGTTTCCAAATTAATGCTTTAAAACGATCAGACATTCTTACGTACATAGTGATGAAAAGATCATATCGGTCTACTATAGAAGAAATACTTATTAATTAGCTTTCCTTAAGTTGTAATTCTAATATTCATCGTCGGAGAGCAACTATGGTCAAATCAAAATGGATATAGGAGTAATGTTTACTGTGAGAAGAAAGTAGGAAACTTCAAGATCCAAGTCTCGGCAATTTTCTCATCGGATTTTTGTTGATTCTTAGAATATGGACGGCAAAAGAAATATCAGTGCACTGAGTATACTTTTGTTCTGTTACAACAGATTTATACATTATAAGTATTAGGAGTTGTCCGAAGTCGGGATAAAGGGTGACTGCTTCCCATCACGAAAAACGTTCGTTTTTTCTTTAATGATTTATATCTGTTTGACTCAACAATTTCAAAGAACCTGATCAACTCGAGCAAAAATACTTTTCAATTGGTCTCCGGAATTATCACATCTTGCATCGTCATTCTGAACACTCACACTCTAAGTGTCAGTTGCGAATGTGTAATTACATGACGCCGACGTATACTATAATTTAAATATTCAATGATAGATTCAGCAGCATTTTGATAGCTATTTACGCATAACGTTTTGGGAATCTTTTGGCATGACACGTTTAATGTAGTGCGTACTAAAATTATTTAATAGGGTTTATTTTCAATTTTTTCCATTGCTTTAAGATATACCAAGAATGCAAGTAGCTATTCAAATAGAGCAAATTATTCTCAACAAGAATTAAAAGAAATAAAAATTATTATCAGGTGTCTAATGACAAGATATTCCGAAAATCAAAAGGGTAGTTTTTTTTCACCATCAAGAATGTCTTTATATAATTTTGCTATTTATAATAATAGAGAAAATAGTTATCTACAAAATGAGATGTGTCCGAGTTTTTCTACAATATTTTTCGCCTGAGATACAAGTATCTTACGAAAAAGCCGTAAAATCGAGTTTTTACTACTTTATAGTGAAGCCAATTTCTGATATTTAATGAAATCATTGTATATCAGCTAAATAACGCAGCAGATAATCTGAAAATGGCTCATTTCGTAGAGCATTGTTTATTTGATCGTCCTATGTAATCTAATCAAAATTATATTTACCTGGTCCAGGTATCGAAAAACTACAGCTTAGGTTTTCTGGAGTTCCTACTTTTAGAAAATTCGCTAATAATTCTTGACTTTTCTTTTATTGTTGCTGGAAACTCTTTTCTTCACTCAAATTACTACTCAAATTCTTTACAGCGCTTATGGCAGTGGAAAAAACTTAAAAATTAACTTTGTTATATAATTTTAGTACATATTGTATGTATTATCAGAATCATAATGCATATTTGTTTTACTCTCAAGATTGCTGAGCAACTTTTGCCTATAAATTCTTTTGTATCTGTTTAATTGATTCCTGGCAAACGAAGGTTTTTAATATGAGTAATCTTATTGCATAAAATCTATTCTCTATTGTACTTTTTGTTTTAAATAAATAAATAATCTTTGAGTATCCTTTATTTCTGTATCCGTGTCAATCAATTCCAAAGGAACGTCTTTTTACTCATTTCGTTCTGTACTATACAATTAGTAAAATTATTCATAGACTTGAATTGACATTGTAGTTTAACAAATATTTTTCTTACCATTATATAATTATTTATGTGCATTGTTGTACATGTTTGGCTCGATATACTCGAACAGACAATAAATGGAAAAGTCGATGTTTTTACGCATCAGAAATGAATATTTAAACGCATTAATAAAAAGAAATTGTTTTGAAGAAAAATAATTTTAAGATCATTAACTTTCATCAGTTTATTATTTTTTCTTACAAGAAATAGTTCTTTAAACACAGTAAAATGTGCATTTTTTAGGCGTAAAAACATCGACATTTTCATTATTCATCTGCTGGAAATGCACACTATTAACGAAACAAGAAAAGGTGTTTTTTTTTATTGTCATGTCACCTGATAGATAGATAAGTCAGTGAGCAAACCTAAATCTAGTCACATAATTATCTACTTCTCATGTAGATATGCAGTTTGTATATCATTAATTCTCGACGACAAAATCAAAAATGCAACTACGACAAGGTCTTGTTTCTGACTCTCATGCAAAACATTAGCTAAACCCAATATACTGTGATATATACTTATGAGCATGTACTTTCTAGATCCATTGAAATAATATGGGAGAATAAAACAAATGATGAAAACCTATGTATATGGGATAAAAGTCTCGCTATGAATATCGATGAGACAACTATATAGGAGGTAACAAAATCCAAAGCCTTGAGATTTAGTATTATTTTGTTCAGATTTGAGACTAGATTTTAATTCAATTTAGATTGGGAATTGAGTTTGAGAACTGACGTTTAAATTGAGGTTTTAATTTTATCTCAAATGATCCGACTCTCAAAAGCTTGCTAAGATAGTGTCAGCAACGACGATCTACGTTACTAAGGATGCGATGCAACCAGAAAATAATTTTGGGATCTGAAACCAAATTAAATCCAAATACAAACCTAAGCACCTAAATTCCAAATTTGTTCTAGATTTGTTACACCCCTAAAAATATGTGAGACAGTAAATTTGCCTCTCTGTATATTACAAATGTGAAGCAAATATTCTGTTTAATTAAAATAATTTCTCTTTTTGAAATTGTATTGCACGCCACTAATTTGAAACTTTTGTCTATTTTTTTACTAGATGTATTTGCCATTTCTAATAGTATTAACTAAAAACAAAAAAGCTTTCTTTTTCTAAATTTTTTTATCAATCATTTTGTGCCTTTGAGTTTGTAACTCAATCAAATTTGATGTGATTATTCATCGAACACAAACATTATTATTCACCGTAAAATATTTGACTAAGTTTAATACGTGTCTAGACATATGAACTGCGCTTCGCTATTACATATAATAATAAGTCTTCTGCATTTAAATAAAACGACTTAACAGTCATTCTCTCACATAATATTCTTTTTATTTTTTTCTTACATGTCCATAATCAATTAATCAAAAATAATATTCTTTGTAAACCTCATGAGTACTGGCATGCTGTATACATCTTTATATGGATATTTAAAATTTATTAAAATAATAGGTGTTTTATTCTATTATGACATGTCGAAAGAGATGATTTTTTTTCTATAGCTCTTGCATGAATAGTTCACAGTATTCATACATCAATGAATTAATTATTAATTACGCATTATTAAATACTATAGATTTTAAGAAATATTTTTGGAGTATATGCAATTAAAAAAAACGAAGTTATTGATATTGTATTATAATTAATCGAAAAATACAACTGAAATATTAGGCACAATATAAATTCCATTATGTATATAACAGTCAATTCTAACTAAATTTAGTCTTATATTAATAATTACAATTAGCAAATGTCAAATTTTGATTTTAAGAAATAAAAAAAAATATCCACAAAGAATGAGATAAATATACTAACTAATGATAGACAATTATTGTTACAAAAATAATTCAATTTAACGATTCTATTTATTCTTCAATATATAATTTCGAATCCATTTCATCATGAATATGGATTCATCTCTTTTTGTTGAAGTCTTTTTTGTTTTGCAGAAACTTGTGACATTATCTGTACAATCAATATAATAATAAAAACTTTCACAATTTATTATAATGAACTGATTAAACATGATTTATAATAGATCAGAGAAGCACAAAAAAACTAGTTAAATTTGATTGTTCATATTTAAGCACATGTATGTTCTTCTTGGCTAATACCTTTCGAACATGAACTAGCTTTAAATGAATATTTCACTTTAGTGCCTTTAGTAACTGCACCACAACCAGTTTTTGCATAATTTTCAACCATTGTTTTACATGATTGTTCACATGATGTCATAGCTACATCAGAGCATGAACAAAATTTGCAAGATGTTAAATCCCATGAATGAAATGGAAAATGAATATTATGTGAAACAGCTTTACATTCACATCTATAGAAGAATAGGATTAAAGATAGATTTTAATTATTCAATTTTTACTCACGTTCGACTTACTGGATTAGCATTAATCATTACAATCAGTGCAAGTACGATAAGAATAACGAGTTTCATGATTGAATTCGATCGTAGAAATAAAAATTGAAATATTGTTAATATATTATTAATACTGTTCGGATTTATATATTTCTTCACAGTACTTGATCTATAGATATTCTTATTTTCTTTTTTTTTGCTTCTCTCTCTCTCTCTCTCTCTCTCTTTCCATTTTATTGCACTTTCGACGAATCATACATGTATTGGTACCAAATATATATGTATTTAAGTATGAATCAAAATAATATCACAACAGTAAAAAAAACAAACAAGGTGACTGTTAACGATTGAGAGTAACTGAGAAGAAAAAAGTGAAGTGTTGAGAGTATATAAATTTTATTCATTGATATTTCAAGGACAATATAGAAGAAAATGAAGGCGAGGCCTAATAAACACATAAGTGGTATTATTTATTTTAGACGTTTTTTTCATCCTTTTTTTGTATTTAAATCCTGGATACTAATCATACCATATGGAGGTTATTAGTAATACACTAAAGTAAAATAGTAGGAAAGGAAAAGTTTCATCAATGTGTTTTAACTAAAAATAAATCTTTCCAAAAACCCTTCAAAAACTTATTTATTTCGTTTTAATATTTTCATTGCTTATATTAACAAATAACATAGCAAATATTTGAAAAATTAAAGAAAATAGAAAAGTTTTTTTTCTTGTCATTCGTCTAAAATCAATAATAAATAAATCATTAAGAATGAACAACATAAATTAAAATTTTTAACGAATAATAGATAATATCATGGAAATTAAAAAAATATATAATCAATAGTAAAACAAAACGACATTATAGAAATAAATCATTTTGTAAAATTGACACACATCAGATTTGCAACCAGTAACAGTAAACAATCTGAATATGTCTATGACGACACGTGCATTAGAATATTTCTTTCAAGTGAATATTCATCTAAATACATATAATACATTTTATTCATTCAGTTTGACGTCAAATTATATAATCGAAACAAAATAAAATCATTGTAACTCATCATATATTTATTTTCATTTTTTAGTATTTTTACTATATTATTTCATAACTTCTATGTCTGACAAACACTTAATTATTATACAATATTAATATAGAGTTCTTAGTCCTATGAAATTTTCTTTCCACCGAAAGATGCTAAGAGAAAGAAAAGTTAAGAAAATAAACAGTGAAGAAATAAAGCTTTTAACGCTATTCCATAGAGAATTAATATAGTACAAACGATAGACCTACTTTAATCATCATGAGAAATTTTATTATCTATATGACAGACTATGACAGAGCTAAAAGTCAGCATGTCAGAAAACTCACCAGCTCATTACACACATATGAACATTTATTTCACATTCTGTCAGTAAGATAAAAGAACATGGGCATGATTGTCACGGCATTCAAAGCAAGTTGAAAGAGATAGATTCAATTTTCTCGCCATACTCTTCAACGTGTATTAACAATCATATGTTACAAAAAAACCTATAATAATGATTTTTACAGTGATTTAGAAGTAGATGTGATTAACCAAGAGGTTCATTTGACTTTTTTAAGATAAGAAATATGCAAAATGACTTATGACAGTCCGATGTGACCGAGAAGGAAAAAAATTCTACCCATTGCAACTGTGAGATACATGAGTAATTTTATTAGACATCACGAGAAAACAAACTTGCAAATTCAATAGGAAGAACATTTCCGTTCTTTTGTCAAGTAGATGTTAGTTAAGAAAAACAAAGAATATTTACAGAAGGAAATTTGACAATCGACAACTTTTTTTTTGACATTTATAAATCTCAATTTGTATTATCACTAAAGATCTTTATATAAAAAAAAAGTACATGCAATCATTCATAGGAAAATAGATGATAATTTCACATCGAATGCAAACAATGAATCTATTAAACTATTTCTTTTTTGTTATAGAAGTAGAAGACTAGCATCGAATCAAATAGGTACTTTTATTTTTGTCTTTCGACTCATTTAATTCATTGTATTCATCAATCATGGTTTTTACATATTAAAAACATTCTTTTCTAAATTGATAGAATAAATAGTAACAAGAAAGATATAAGCTAATCTATCGATGTTTGATTGACTTCACAATAAAAAAAAACGTTTCACTTCATAAAAATATTACTAAATATTGAGTGTCAGTTATGACTAGATCTTTGAATCGAATATCGTCCTGCAGAATTTTTTTAAATATAATGAAGATTTCTTTCATAATTCATAAGTATAGTATTTAATAAAAAAATATATACGATAAAATTGTCTTTATATGCAAACATATTTGAATATTTATCAATAGAATCGCCAAGATAATTTAATAATTTACGATTGCAAAAAAAAAAAGTGTTATTATTTAAAGAAATAATTTTCTTTCTTTTTTTTCTTCTTCTTCGTCAGTAAGTATCTATTCAACTAGCATACGCATAAAAAGTCCAATGAATAATAAAAGAAAAGCCAAATAGAGAGCACTCAATGTGATGGACGGCGATAATCGGAGCCATGGAATCTAAAAAGAAAAACAGAATCTCCGTTTGTGAATATTAGATTTCTTAAAATAATTACTAATAATATTAGATTTATATTGTTCAAAGAAATTTAATGATAATTGTCTTTTAACATAAACAGGTGATGAACGAAATAATATATATGAATAATCTCTTTTATCATTTTTTATTATTGATAATTGATCATTATCAATTAATGATAATGATGAACAATTAGTATGATTTATGAAGGCTTTTTGTTCAGTATTTAATATTTTACATTGAATTTGAAATGGTATAGGTTCTTTAAGAATATTATAAAGATAAAAGGAATAATAAAATGTTGATAAAGAATTTATTTTCGATGGTAAATGAATCACAGTTGGATCAGTAGGACAGCTAAAAGAGATTTAAAAAAAAAGAATTATTTTTTCTGTTCGGATTTTGTTTACCCTCGATATATTAATTGATGTTTGTCTACATAATCAGAATATGGATAAAGGGCTATTAAATCACATGAATCAATAAAAAAACTTGATGATATTAATGTTGAATCATCTAATGCTACATGAATAAGAGAATAAAGTGAAATAGAACAAATTTGTGGACAAGTATATGTTCGATTATGTAAAACCCATTTTAAATAAATTCTTAACAAAAGAGATAAAAAAAAAGAAAAGTTTTCATTTATTCTTTCTTTTTTTTCTACCTATGAGTTGGTAGAACAGATTGTTCATCATGATATAATGTTGATGGTAAACGACGATGAGTAGAACTTGGTGATGGAGTATTTTTCATAGATGCTGTTGTTGTTGATATTTTCATTGTTATTGATGTCCAATGAGCTGAACGTATTTGATATATGTCACTCGGACAAAGAAAAAAACGTTCATATTGTCTAGCTTCATTTGTATCTTTATCTACACCTTCCCAACGAAGTTTACCAACGATCGAACCATCAGTTAAAGTCTGTATGAAGCAAAAAAAATTATCGAAAGACTTGATTAGATGAAAAAATAAATTTCTATAGAATCAGGTTACTTTTCCTGTTCACATGAATTCGGATGTATAAATAAAAGAATTTGAAATGCTTTTTTTCAACACCTATTCGGTTACAAAAGAAGAAACATTATTTGTGTGTTTTAGTGTTTCCTTTTGCTGAAAATTCTTCTATAAGATAAGTTATCTAACAAGTTGAATTCTATTCTCTTCAATAAAGACAATATTTATACCAATGAACAATTATCAACATGTGTAATAAATTGTGCATGTGTTTCATTGAACCAAATGGGTTTACAACCACTATCACCAAGAAGAACATAATTTCCATCAATACCATTTAATGTGACTAATATATGTAATTGAACACCTGGACACGTTGTTGTTTGTAATCTCACAGCTAAGAATAATTAAATGTAGAGAAAAGAAGAAAAAAAACCGAGGAGAAGAACTATTTAATTGACTAAAACAAACCTTTTGTATCTTTTCGACAATCAATTTCATAATAATCAACAAATAAATTTGTTCCTATTGATGATGGTTGATCTGTTAATGATATATTAGCACGTACACATAAACCATGTCGATGTGAACGCCAATGTTCAAATGAACGACATCGTTCAGGTTTTAATTTTAAACAACGATCGAAACAATCTAATTCTGAGATCCAATGATCATGAAGATCATTATAACCGTTTAAAGAAGTATCAATACGTTTTTCATAAAAGCAATCTTTAAATAATAAATTTCAAAAAAAAAAATTAATTAAGAAACACTAAGGAATTCATTTTGATTTACCTTCAATATGATTTAATGATGAAGAATATACCATGAATTTAAATTTTAATCGAATAATAATAAATATGAGCATCACCAACAGGCGGCGGCTCATGATAAATAAACATGTTTATCATAGCATAGCATCATCTGACATTACCAACAACAGACTGCAGTTGTTGTTGTTATTATTATTATTATTATATTGGCCATAGAAAAACAATCAATCTATAAAACATATTCCAAAAAAAAAAGAAATTTACTTTTTAACTTATGTAGCCATCAACTAGATTTGTAAATGACCTCAGTTTTCTTCTTCTTTTCAATTATTTTTCCACCAATCAATCTTAACTTAGATGATAATGAACTACCTTTTCCTGATAAACCACCGTTGTCGCCTTTAATAGATTTCAATTATTCATTCGGTTTCTTCTTCTTTTTTTTCTTCAAGTAATGTTCGTTCGTACAAGCAAAAGGTGTGGGTCTCTTTCTCGCTCTTTCTATTTTTTAGAGAAAAAATACTAATTTCCCTAGTTTGTTGATGAAGCAGAAAATCAACTAGAAATGTTCATTGATTCATTGACAATTGTTGAAACCTTGTTCTTTTTTTTTCTTTTTTTTTGTAAAAGAAAGAAAGGCTTAAAGCTATTGTGACAGGGCACAACATCGCGTGTAAGAATCAAAAAATCACCGGCACTTTCGCTCGTTCAGTTTTAATTAAAACAACATCAAATGCAAAAAAAAATACACAGTGA